GCGATCTCACCGCATTCATTCGAAGCGGAATTCTCAATTTTTATAGCAGTTTTATTACAATTTTTCGAATCTGGGATACTTTTGGAAATGTTGAGTAATTTTTTTCCAAATTAAAAATAAATTAATTGGATAAATTTTAAAATTTGACGATAAAAATACGTATTAAAACTTTAAACGGACTTCGTTCAAAAAGCCTATTTTTTATATATCGAAATTAAAAATATTTATACAAAAAATGTAATTTACGTTTGTCCCGATCCCAAATGGGTGCACAAAATCACAGCTAACAGGAAAGTCCACATCTTTCAATAAATGATGATAGTAATTCTCACAACGAAAATATGATTTAATCCAATTATATTTTACGAAAAAAAAGTTGAAATGAAAGATTTCAAAACAATCAAGGGAACTGAAGAAATCTGGTCTAACACAAGATTTTAAAAGAATTTTTTTTATTGACAAAACATTCTTATCATGTGGTTTTATTGTTCATCATATCTTTATATAGGGAATTCCCCAGTGAGGAATCCCCACATTCTTATCTAAGCAATTAAGATCAATTGCACTGCAATACAAAATTGATTGTCTATTTTTCGCTACAAGAATTCTTAAATAAACATTCTTCTAAGCGTTTCATTACAATTCTGTTGCTTAGCAGCAGAATTGATGTACGTATTTCAACAAAGCATAATTCAAAGAGAAACCCGCGTCAAAAAATTTCAAATCTAGGCAGCCAGCTACCCTGGGACCTTTTTAATTGATTAAATGGTATAATCTTGAAAAAGAAGTCGATTAAAGTCAACTTTAGTTTTATGTACGAAATCAAGCAGCTGAATAAATTTGAAAAACAATTAATCTACATAAAAGCAATAAATTCGACAGACTGTTTGTATAAACATTCGTCACATTAAAATCATTTTTTATTATTACTTGTCATATACATCTTGATAGAAATCTTTTAATTAATAATTGATATGCATCTCAAAAAAATGAAGAAGATAATAACAATAACCCAATTTCTCAATAAATTCGACCTTTATTGCTGAGCATAGCCCAATTGACGATAAACAATCGGTTTATGTGGACCATTTGCACCTTTCAACTTGCAAATTGTCGTGTGAATATCGATGCAAACTCTCTGTATAAAATCTTTTGCTGCTTCCGAAATATCTCTGAAATAATTAACATTTGATTTAAAAAAATCGAATAGAGCCAAAGGAGTATATCATACACACAAAAATATATACAATGAAAACATGATGACATGCCATCTAAAATGCGGAACTAGTTGACAAGCCGTCTAAATTTGTATTTGTCCCTCTAATTATTTTCATACAAAATATCGCTTTGTGTATTCTCTTTTATGCAGTTCTTCTTCGTTTATGTCTTGAAGAAAATCCGCTCAAAAAAGAATAAACAAAAACGATATGTTGTGTGAACTAGAGGGACAAATACAAATTTAGACGGATTGTCAACTAGTTCCGAAATTTAGATGGCATTTCATCTAGTTTTCATTGTATATTTTTCATTGATTAACTGATACAGTATGTTCAACAACAACAATAATTTGTATATTTTTCTGTGTGTACCTATTTCTGTAGAATTCATTTATTGTATCTGCAAATCCTTCAAGTCTCTCTACAATAAAGCTAAAATACATAATATGTATTGAATTCTTGTTGTAAATATACTGGAAAAATCATTAATTTACTCATAAAGAAGAACGTAGACGTCATCAGGATATTGGAGGTTGAAATTTGAAATGATCTCATTTACTTTTCCAAGAATGGGGTCTAAGAATGAAACACTGTTAAGAAATTTAATCAATAGATTATTAAAAAGTAATATTTTTTTGCTGAAAAAATATAATTACCCGGTTTGAGGATATTTCGGTGGCGATTTAGCAACTTTTTTGAAAAAACTTGAATAGTCTTTGATTTGTTCCCCACAGCATCTGTAAGTAATGATCGC